GGTTGCAATTGAAATCGACGAATCTGCACATTTAACGGTTTCAGTTTTCTTTTCGTTTACGGCTTGCAGTTTTTCAATTATCACTGTATGACTCACATTACTTCAACCTTTACACATACGTCTGCCTCCAAACACCATCACGACTCCCTTGCCTTGTCGAGTTATTTAATTTACTCATCCTTATTATGCATCATCCAATTCAAACAACAATATCTCTTCTCAGTCTCTTCGTATATTCCATATTTTACATTTAGATCATCTTGTACAATTTATTTAGATAAGAAATTGTTCTTCTTGAAGCATGAGTCTCTTGGTTTCTGTTTGTTCATCTATATTATTCCAAGGATCATCTAGTGCTGCATTGCCTTTCGATTTATCTATGTTACCCTGATTGTCCAATTTTTTGTAGATTCTTTATGCAGCCCAAAATGTCGGCTTGTTTTTATCATGTTTTTATCATGTATGTATGTATGTATGTATGTATGTATGTATGTATGTATGTATGTATGTATGTATGTATGTATGTATGTATGTATGTATGTATGTATGTATGTATGTATGTATGTATTCATATATATCTATATATCTATATATCTATATCTATATATATATATATATATATATATATATATATATATATATATATATATATATATATATATATATATATATATATCTTATGTACATACATATGTAAGTATTTGTTTGACTATGTTCGGCATATGAGCAATGGCGAAATATATTTAGGAAATATTTTAATTTTTAGGAAATATTTTAATTATTATTCTTCAGATGATTGTTAAATTACTCCTAAAAATAAAATGTATTGACTTCCTACATTGGTAGAGCTAAATAAATGAAGGAAACAGAAATCAAACTTCTTTTTGAAAAGAAACTATATTTGTAAATATAACGATGCAAAGAAATGTAGATTATTGACAAATGCCTTAAGTTCACAAAGACAAAATTAATACAACTGTATCAACCGCAGCAACTCAAAACTAACAAGCACAAGACTAAAGCCAATTACAGATAATAAAGTAAGGATCTGTGGTACCCTTTACTTAATATATACATACATGGAAATATACGGGGAACAGACAACTGATACAGTTCCCTTGGACTGCAATATTAATATATGATCAAATGACTACATCTTTCTTGGCAACATGCTTGGCTTGCATTCTATAAATGATCTATCCAAGGGAAAAGTTTTAGAACGATGAAGATATATTTCACGACTTGTATTTCCCAATTATTCCTTCGTAGGTGCCTACAAACTCTCCCTTTTACATCCAGTTGTACTTTTTTTGCGGTGACATAAGAAAAATTAAAATTGCTTTGGTTCGAAGCCTACTATTTTAAACAAGTTACGCATATATAGGATTCACATAAAAAGATGCTTTAATTTTTCCAGTATTTATTTTCAATCAAACAGCAACTTTTATTTTCGTAATATACTTTATTTATGATACTACCACATATTGTCCAGTTTCATTCTTATTTTATGTGACCAATAATGCAACTCTATTGTTCGGAATCCTGATTCGATGGAAAAAAAGATTCATTGACGTACAAAGATCATATAGTACATGTTTTATTACGCCAAGACATTTTGAATGCCAGAAGGACATGCAGTTTTACTGCATAAAGAAAAACATAAACACCTGCTTTCACCAATATTATCTATTTCGTTTATCAACTATATAGATAGAGGAAAAACAGTCAACTATACTTCCAGGAAATGTCCCTATGGCGCTAACATATTTGTATTGTTTGGCAACTGATGCTTTTTTATTTTGTTTTAAAGTGGACGATCGATATTTAAGTAGCTTGCAGTTATTAAATATGCATACGACACCAATGTACGAAGTAAAACAAGCTGTGCTAGGTTGGCCTTGCTAATAATTGGTTCCTGCAACCAGTTTATCTAAGATATGTGACAAGGTGACTTTCAAGGACATATGTTTTGTGTCTACAATATAATGCGTTTTGCAAACCTAAGGAGATCACAAGTAATATCAGAGTGATTAACTAAGTTCAAAAAGTGTAAGGAAAGCCGTATAGAGTACGTCGCGAACACCAGCAGACGATCAAGTCAGAGATATATTAGCGAGACTTTGTAAAAAGATAAAGAACGAAATCAGTCCAAAATGTATTAAATTTCATTTAAAATGGGCACAGATGTAAAATTCTAGTTGCCACGTGACATAAAATACTGTTTATGCACAATATGTTAGCGAATTTGAATACCTGTAGCAAAAGTTCAGTCACGCAGATCTATCACAACATCACACATTGCTCACGCACTTGAGGTAATATATAACATTCCCACGCTTGCATATAAAACATCTTCAACGGGTCAAAACCAAAACATCGTTGAAGAATTAATCATAATATTTTACAGTATTCATAAAGTCATAAAACTTGATAATTGATTATACAGACTTTACAACCATTTGTGGAACATGTAATCGATTTTCAAAATTTATGATTGCAGGAATCTTGTAAAGTATTGGCTGGTACCGACATAAATTGGCAAATCAATATCATAGGCTGGGAACTTGAAAAATCTGTCCCACGCTTGGTTAGCGACCTAATTAGTACAACAATGACGTCATTCATATAACGGCAGATTTTATGAATTAAATCTTAATTGTGGTGATTGGTTCACATCAGCGCTGGTACATTGTAATGGAGCAAAGCAAATTCTTATGTCGATCTCTGTTTTGTTGTTGTTGATCTCTGCAAGAAACATTTAGTTGCACATGTATACGATTAAACTAGATTTATGGAGACATGAGTACATTTAAATAGCCATAAAGCAAGAATTGGTTTAGACTCTGTCATGCGTTATCAATACTTAATTAAGGGCTACGTTTGTTTAGACTTACCATGATGGAGGTAACATTCTAATCTGTATGGAAACTGTCATTTCTGAAGGTTAACACGAATTGTTGGACAATCTTTGTTTGTCAGACCAATTGCAGTGCTTTGAGGCTAGTGAAGCGGGAATTGTATTTCATCCCGATTGGACACGCTGTAGAAAGGGGCATGGTTTCACATGAAAACTATCATTTTAAATGTGCTATTAGCAAGTTTCAAAATTAGTCTATTCTTTTCTATATAGGAAACAAAATTAAGAGCATTAGGGAATCCGAGTAATTTAATAAGTAAATTTCTAGTAAAATTATGAAGGGGAGATGATAGTCTGGAGGAGCTGACAGACACGAAAACTTGAAAGGACAAGGTATTTCGCGTCAATTGTATGTAATGCGTTGATACTATTAAGATGATTTGTTTGATTTATTTGCTTGTATTGCATGGATTTATTTGTTTAAATTCGTAGATCAATTCCTTGATATGGTGTAACTGTGTTCAGTTCGTTTATCTGATTCCGCTCAATATTTGTCTTTATATACACATTAACGGCTCGCTTAAGTTATAGTCTCGACTATCCCAAGAAATTATGTATCTAGAAATTCATGCTTTATTCTATATAGGAAATAATGTATCTAGAATAACTTCATGAATACATTACACGATTCATGGAATCATAATAAATAATGAGTCATTTATCTGAATTCGTACAATGATATTTTTAATTTATATACATTGATGAATTGGTGGAATGTAGATATTACGAGAATCCGTGTGCTTTCTCCGACGTGCTGAGGTCACATTTAATAAAGACTTTATTGTTTGTATTTGTTAAGTACCGTATTGTAAGAAATTGCATTAATTATCTTGTGTAATAGGACTAGTCTGGAACTAATGTCTCGGTGTGGTGCTAAATGACAATTAGTCAACCATTAATTTTGGAAAACTAGGTTGTGTGGACTGTCATGACCAATTAGACTAGATAGGTCTGGTATGTTTGAATCCGATATAATTTTTAGCTGTCATGAGTGGGTTGAACTATTCTGTGGCAGAATATTTAGGTTGCTTTGTTTATAGTATTGCAAGGTGAGATAGCTTCACCAGTCATACTAACCGGACGTGACAGGAAATATCAATTAGTTACGAACCCAAAAGATGCTTCACAAAATTGGGAGGGCCGAAATAGGCGAGATAATGGAGAATTAGGAAAAAAGAAGGGAAAAATTTAGAAAACCCAGACTCACCGACACAAGGAAGTCAAAAGGAACAGTTGATGTGGACTTTGCACTGAGATAAGACATCAGGCTATAAATCGATACAAGGCAGTGTTTTTTCGATATTACACTCGATCTAATGCTGAATTAATTATATTGGGTAACTGGTTGGTTATTGATATAATCATATTTGTTTTTTTAAAATTCTTTGAATAAGTTGATCCAAAAAGAAAGAAGCGTTACTTTCAAAATTTAATGTTTATTCACTCTTGTTTGTGAATTCTATTGTTATGAAGCTTGTTTAAATTTTGTCTTTATTTGTCGTTATTCGTTATTCTCTTCTGTATATCTGCTCAGATCTTTATATATTATACCCATAAATCATACTTTGTATTGACATTTACTCGGTCCGGGCAAATTACACCGTCGGAGGTCACCTATAGATAGTAATAGCCAAAACCCAATAGCTCACCACACCAAAGTTGAGGACGGGTTTTCGTCATCTATATTGGATTAAACATACCTAATATGTGTACTTTCTTAAAAGATGAATATCTATAGTTTTTATTTGCATTTTTAGAAATACTCCATGTGTGACGCAGTTGTCAGTGATGCTTAGACCTTTATTACAAATTGCATGTATGATTGTTTATGGTGATTCGTGCAGTATGTACTTGATTTTCAATTTTCCAAGACTTTATGAATGCCGTAAAATATGAAGTTTAATTCTTAAAATTTATGGGTATTGATTTATTATCCAACTTATTAAACAAATTGAATGATTTACAGCTTTTGCAAGATGTGATGTAATCAATTCTTATCTTAGATTTTTTTCTCGTAGTTTTATTCTGAGAAAAACAAGTATGGATAAAATGAAAAATATGAGTTTCGCTTTTCATACTGACGGCTCCGGTGGTTTAAGTGGTTAGAGCATCTGCTTCAGAATGGTAGAGATCGCGGGTTCGAACCCCGGCCAAATCATGACAAAGACTATAAAATGGTATGATCCTTCAGAGCTGGACAACACAATTAACTGTCACATTGCAGACATATAAGCGATACGATTAAAATTGTTAAAACTACTTTAAAAATCCAAATAACACGCGCGCGCATGCACCTCATACTATCGCAGACGTTGTACTTTTCAATTCTCGCTCATTAAAATAATAATCTCCAAATGGGAATTTAAAACATTTTACAGAATTCTTGCTCATTAAAAATAAAATCCAAATGGGAATGGAAAACATCTTACAGAATTCGATAACCAGGCATATGTATATTTTAAAAATTAAATTACAGATAAAAGAGTAACTTTCCTTTCAGTTGATAAAACATTTGACAAGAACCACATAATTTCAACTCTGAATTTCTTATGGAAATTTGCGTGATGCCACATAGTTCTTTCGTTCAGGTCAGCTTGATCAGTTTAAACGCCATGGATAATGATGAGATTGTTTACAACTTTTCCACTGAAAAACCGTCGAGATTCTGCTATAGACATTCAGCACAAATGCAGTTCTATATATGGCCAAATAAACGGCATTCAAGTTGTTGAATATTTATTTGAAGGGATAATTCTTGCATACAGAAAAAAAAAACGGTTAATCTAAAGGTCTTTTCCGGGTGCTGGTTTGCATCCCAGTGGATCTAGTGATTTATTGTGGGTGGATAATTGCATTTTTCGATTTGGAAGAATGCTGTAGTTTGATAATTTTGTAAATTGAGAGACCAGCATGAGTTGACATTATCTTCTTAAGAAATGTGAGTTTATTTGCTGGTGTAAGTTGACTTTTAAACCCTGCTAATTCTGGAGGTGGATTGCAAGATCCATATAAAGTGGTAGCAGCAATGCAAGGGGGACTGTCTGTATTACGTAAGGATGGCGGCGTTTATGTGCATAGACTGATTTCATTTGCGTTGGACAGCGTGATGAATTTTCTTGGTTTTCCCACATTTTGGTTTAAATAGACGAATGTCCAGCTGGCTTACTCGTGTTCTAGACTTAGTTTTGCATTCGGACAATGTTTTGTGGGAAAGATGGGCTATATTCTGAACTAAGCAACCACTGTATTTCTGCGATAGTCCTCGCTCTCATTAAGTTTCTGATTGGAAACGTCGGCCACCATATTGTTTTTAGTATTTCTTTCATTTCACAAATATAATCTTTATTTTAGTCATGCTCTATTGATACAAACACCATTTTTGCTATTAAGTATTCGTAACATTCTCCTCATATCGAAAACAGGATATATCGTTGATATAGTAGGCGGAAATGCAAACTCATTATGTCATTTACCGATTAAATAAATGACATTTTATGTTTGCCACTACACACTGGAATTGAGTTCATGCCAATGAAAAACTCTGCGGACCTGGTGATTCATACATCATTGACATTTTATATATTTGGGCACAGACCTAAATAATACCTTGGTTTTACTAAAGTTTCCAGATGATTTCCAGGATTTCACGCTTGAGGGTGTTTAGTAAATTTTATCATTTGAAAGAGACGATTCGTAAAATTATTGTCGATGGGAAGTATTTATAATGAGCAGAGAATGTATTCATCCAAATTACCACAGCAAGATTATTTTTTCAATGATGATTATGCATGCTAATAATTATGAATGGTGAATCTGAAAATTCCCAGTCTAATGTTTATCATAGTGGGCCGTCACAATAGTTGAATAGTTGATGTTCACTAGTGCTTGTTCCATTTCCGGTCGAGTCATACCAAAGACTTACAAAAATGGTACTAACAGCTTCCTCGCTTGACGCTCAGCATTAAGAGGTTAGCGTTAGGACTGGTCGGCCTGGTGTCAGGAGAATGTGATTGGGTGTAACATCATGCTACATGTCTGCGGCATGATGTCCCTGTGATAAACATCACTATAAACTGCCACATTGCAGACATTGTAGCGATATGACTGAAAAATTGTAAAAGCTATGTTAAAAATCAAGAACACTACCACCACCACAAACACCGTGTAAGCAGTCTTAAGTACTCGCTTCCGATTGTGTGCGTGTATATATATATATATATATATATATATATATATATATATATATATATATATATATATATATATATATGGGGTGGGGTGCTAGACCTTTCTTGTGTTTTCCTAATAGGATAGCCCAATTTATATTGTTATACATGATAAACATACTTTCTAAAGAAGGTTGTGTAAAATACGTACAACTGAGAACACACATGGACGGTTAAGCTCTAGCGTTTGACGGAGACACGATGGAAATGTTGTACTGTAATAGTTCAAAATGTATTCGGTGTGCTTCGACAAAAGTTTAAACATAGTAAATCCATATAAGTGTGAACACAGGAAATTATATAAGTTTGAATGTTCCAAAACGCTTATAAACTTTATTCTTAGGTAATCGATTGAAAATATGAATGGTTATATTTAAGAATTATTTGTAGGAAGAGATTTATTAATTACCATCAAAATCCTGTAATCAAGTGTAACGTAGAAATCCAATATTCAAACACTTCTTACATTATTAAAAGCGCGCGTCAATGCTACCGGAAGGAACCTGCATGATCGTACAAAAATTGTTATAATGTTAAACCGAAATTAACCATAACATGCTATATTGTAATGCTAAATGGTACGCAGCGCTGATTTAAATTATACGTTAAGCAGTGGTTACACCATAAATATCTACTCAGGCTTGGTGTACATTTACCCTTGATCTATAAATCTGCTTGTAGGCATCTTGACTAACAGTGATAAAAAGTTTCGAACAAAGTGCAGTCATATGTCATTGTGCACAGCAATCCATATAAACATAATTCGATATGCTTAGCAGTACGTACAAGCATATGTACTAAGCATGGCAATATGTAAAGCGTATCTCACTACCTACGGCAAAACGTACCATCATATTTCGCTAGGCACAGCAAAATGTACTAGCATAGTTCTACGTGCACGGCAGTAAGTCAAGCGTATCTCACTATGCGTGGTAATACATGCATGCTTATCCCTTATGCACGACCATGCATGCGTACATCCCCATTCCAAGGAAACATTCCATTTTGAAGGACGGTCAGTTTCGAGGCAAAATTAAAATATATTATGAAAGCTTGAAGCCATGATCCCGATCCTCTTCTTTCTATTTAGTTCATCTTGATGCTGCAACAGATAATTCTGAAGAAAATAGACTAACAGTACAAATGTAGCTGATACAGGATTACTTATTCACTTTAAAAAGCGCTGCAAGGGTCATGATTCATGCACAATAAACGTCCTGGAAAAAGAGACGAGACAGTATCATTTTTTGTTTCATTTTTTCTTTATAACCAATACAGTCCAATGTACACTTTTCTACTTCAATGCAATTTATTTTGCAAGCGTACAAATGACACGGATGAGTATTAATAATATTATTATTTGGTGTGGTGTGGTTGTGGGTATCTAGTCGTAAGTATTATTATCTGCTCTATATAATCGCATTTCCGTTAAAGAGGCAATACATATAGGCCATTAAAACGGTTATCAATCAACCTGTTTCCAGGTAATTCTGTTCCTGAAAATCTTTTCGTAGAATTCTCTAAGGTGATTAGTGAAACTCGTTTTGACCAGTACGATTTTTTCCCCCGACATTTTTTCAGTTTTCTGACCAGATTTCTATACCGTGCAATTATCTTTCATTGCAACATAATTCACTAGTACTGCTATGATGATGATGATGGTGATGATGATGATGATGATGATGATGATATTATTATTATTATTATTATTATTATTATTATTATTATTATTATTATTATTATTATTATTATTATTATTTTCCCAAGGGCCAAATGTAATTTCATCCACTTTGGATCTGAACCTGAATTTGATGTTAGCGGTGGAATATTCCCCAGGCTTTCAAGGTAATATGTATTGATGACTTGAAAAACATTAATGAAACATTATCCACCTGTTAGGAAAATACTCAATGACAAAATGACCGTGTATTTGCATGTCCAAAAATGACCGTGTATTTGCATGTCCCAGCAGATTTGATTGGTAATTCTGTGATGAGAGATTCCGGTGACAAGTTCATAGCTTGCCTTGGAGCAAGTAAATAATTTGATCAACCTCTTCAGTTCACTGGTGAAATTGTAATCATATTCAATAGATGAGCTTTAAATATGGTTGGTGATTAAGTGTAAATAGAGATGTACCAAAGAAACAAGATTTATTTTCAGATATATTGTTTAAAACGCAGTAAACACGCGAACGTGCGTTCTGTGCAGAATGACATTAGAAGGCAAAGTAAAGTTAGATTATGATTTTGCCATCTGATTATTCTTGATTGAAGAAAAAAATTATTACATCTTTTTATTCAAACAAAATTCAAAAAGATGTATAAAATTCATTTCGATTATTCAAAGTGAATTTTAATTGATAGTACAACTCTATGGTCTTACAATAAGTAATAAAAAGTGAGAACCAACAAGTTTAATGCCATTCAACAAATAATTTATTTACTAGAATACAAAGTAAAAAATGTAAAACATGCTTACGGCATTGCGAAATAAATTTTAAAAAATCCTAGTATTGTGAATCCAATTCCTTAATATTTAAAGTTCTGAATGAAGATTAGTGATATTCCAAATATAAAAATGCCAACTCTCTAAGTGGTTATATACATGCGGCGGCCTTTGTTTGGTAATTTGCCAACATTCTTTTGTTGAATCACAATAATAAAATCTAATAATATATCTTAATTTGAAATATCACTTTCAATCCAATATTCTATTTCCATGAATAATATTCTTCGAGCACTTTATATTTTCAGAGAAAATCGCTTGAATTTAATGATTTGAATAAATAAATTCCAGCCCAATTAAATACTGGATATAATAATAATACAACTGGTTCTGCTCAGATCGTAAAACACAAATGAATGTCTAGAAAGGCAAGATTATACAGTTCCCTACCTAACCTTAGTCACAATTAGCATTTTCTATAAAA